GGCCTTCAGGCCCTCCTCGCCCTGGATGTGCCGTACTACTACTTTACCTGCAAGGTGAGTTCAGTCTCTCTCTTTGTTATTGTATTTGAGCTATGGGGCAACTTCTAGTGAACATAATTTCAGAAATGTTCTGGTTGTATTGGGGCCAAACTTAGGTTATATTTTCAAATGACAAGAATAAAGTCGTAATATTTGCATAATAAAGACACTTTACCAGAGGAAAGTCATAAAATTACAAGAAAAAACGAGTTTTATAGAGAAGTCAGGATCTGATGTGACCAACTTGTTTGGTTCTTTCTTTGAAATAGATTCAGTCGTTTGCAGAATCGTTTCAGTCCTGCTGCTGCTGATGTGTTAGATATAAGTATTTACTGAGATCTAAAACTGAAACCAAAGTATAGCTTTGCAAGACGCTCAACATTACTCGTATTAACCTTTAGTTAGTTATATTATTATAACTTTATTCTGTTAGTATTATGGTTTTTCTGGCATTATTTCTAATTTGTTCTCGTATTACTTCAACGCTATTCTCATACGACTTTATTCTCGTGAAACGTTTTGCTGGCAATATTATGAATTTATTCACATATTATTATGACTTTATTCTGGTAATGTTATGATTTTGTTTCTTGTCTTGGCCTGATACTCCGTCTGTGGGGTTTCATGATGAGCATATTTATTGTTTTTTATGATTGTTTTGATGTGAAAATGTGTGTGTGTGTTCAAACACACCCCAGCTGTTATTTCGGGGAGACGGTGTGTTTCTTCCAGAAGTAAGTGTTTGTGTTTCAGCAGCTGTGATTGTGTCAACATGTCGGCTCCCTTAGATCAGCATTAAAGCACATCCTGAATATTTCTGACCACATCACAAACACCTGGAACGGTTGAATTTATTGAGGGTTTTCCTTCAAATCCACACAGGATCAGTTTGATCCTCTCAGACGTTTAGAGTCAGGCCTGCTGACGTTTGGCCTCCACGACCAAAGTTTTTCCACCAGAAAGTCAAAACCTCGAACCTTCAGCGCGTTTTATTGTTATTTTCTGTTTTCTGTGCTTCTTATTGTCTGAAGTGAATAAATAAATAACAGGAGAGGATTACAGATGCTGGAAAAAAAAGTACTTTTTTCTCAGAATTTTGATTTTTTTTTCACTGAATTTTGACTTTAATATCAGAATAAAATTTATTTTTTTAATTCTGACTTTTGTCTCTGAATTTTGACTTTTTTTTCTCAGAATTTTTATTTTTTTCTCAGTGGTTCCAAATTTTTGTCTTTTGTGGTAAATCAATGCAAAGTGCTTAAACCAAAGAAAGCTACACAAACAATTTCTTAAAAGCATTCTCGCTTCGTTTTCCTCTAAGTACCAAAGAGAAAATAATTTAGAGATTCCAGCTGACCTGAAACAAAAGAATTTGATCTTATTTAACTTCAGACACTCGGATTAAAAACGCGTCTCTGTCTTTTTATTTGGCTCTCGTAAATATTTGATTTCAGCTGAATATTTTTGGCCATGAAAATCCACAATAAATCCAGATCTGTTCAGAAACCCTCCTGTTGCATCGTCATCCCACCTTCAACGTCCAGATAAATAAAAGATTCATTCAGATGATGGGTGTATGTAAACTTCTGGCCTCGGTTGTTTCCCTGTTGTTGCTCCCACCTGATCCCCGTTATTATTACCCCATGTTTCAGGGCTGGACAATAAATCAATGACACATGATCGATATCAGTAGGTGATGCATCTGACATCAAAATATACAGAATATTTTGTGTTGGTGGAAACAACGCATTCGCACTTTAGTTACCCAGCAACAAGCTGCTGGGTAAGTTTCACCTCATAACGACTTAAAAATAAAAAACGATGAGTTTTAAAAACTGGATAAAACAGGAAAGTTCACTACATCAGTTTGAGTATTTCTGATATTTGAAAGGAAAAAAATGAATCAATAATTACTCTGCAAAAACCTAAAATCTGTCTCAGTTCTCTTGAAATAAGACTAAACTAACTTAGAATGAGCGTTTCGGCAAATTCAGGAGCTTGTTTTAAGTGAATGATTGCTTAATATAGATTGAAATGTTTACACTTATAAGAGATATTTGTTTCTAAATTAAGTCGTCTGCTGGTGGAACTGGAACTTTTTCATTAATATTACCAAACTATTGACTTTAAAAAAGCTCCTATATTTGATGAAAGGTTCATTGTAAGTTAGTTTTGTCTTATTTGGAGTGTATTAGTTGCACTAGAAGCTAAACCAAAAATGTGTTTTTGCAGTGTATTGGTATCGACTGATATGAATCAGTTATGTTGGTTTTTAGCCATGTTGTCCAGCCCGACCATGTCTTGGTTTTATATTTACAAAATCTCGATGTAACTTTCTAAGAGCTCACCTTGCGACCTGGTCGTCTGATCCCAGCCAGGTGAGGAGAACCCAGAGGTGTCTCCACCGGCAGATCAGCCAATCAGAGCGGCTCCCGCTTCGCCCCCCGTCATGGCGTCCAGGCGTCCTCTCAGAGACTTCGTGGGCCTGGAGAAGTGCGAGAAGGGAACGCGGGACGCCATGTTGAACTTCAGCTTCTACCTGAGCGTGGGCGACATGGACGAAGCCTTCAAGTCCATCAAACTCATCAAAAGGTATGGCGCGCGGTTAAAGGGGCGGCGCTCCATAAGAGACGTACTCGAGGATGGGGTTGCATTGTTCTGGGCCCTGGAGCTGACCGCAGTCCGTTCTGAGCGGACTGAGTGATGGGGTGTTGGTTTCTGGCTGAATTCAGCTCTTGGCTTGCTGTATTAAAGCAGGGATTTTCAGGCTGCAGCCTCCAGAGGGCGCTAAGGGGCCTCAGAAAGTCCACAGTCTTTTTGTTGTATAGAAACGTGGCTGAATACAGGAAGTGTTTTCAAATGAAGACTGAACCAGATCCTGTTCTTATGGCTAAGAAAATATAAAATATTTTTTTAGGTTTCATCAAAGAATAAGCAAACTGGACGCTTTTTATTTAAAAGCATTTGAAGTTCTGGAGATAGGATCTGATTACTTAACTTGCAACATTTTGGTGATTTTATTTTTTAAGAATATTTTGTGTTGACCTGCGACTATTCCTGTCAATATAACAAATGTTGTTGGACAATAAATTGTCCCAAAGATTATTGTCATAAACAATAATGTTGTTGTTTTGCCACCATTTTCAAGTGATATTATAACGATAACAATGACATAATAATTTAGGAACAGATTCTCAAAGATCAATTAACTTTAATTTTGATGAATATTTAACATCGGATCTGTAAGACATAAATATCCAAAATAAATAAACAAAACAACATCAACAATAAATAAAATGAATTACCAAGTTTCTAAATAAAATTATCCAGCTAAAAAAATATTTAGTTGAGACCAAATCAGAAAACTTTATCATCCAGTTTTTAGTGGAAAGACAAAAATGATAAATCACTCAAATGGAAATTACTGAGTTTGTTTTAAAATAATATGCAATTAATTGGTTAATTGATTTATTGTAACAGAACTCCTGATCTGGTGCAAACGTTCACTTGTAGGGTGAAAAAAAAGACTATCACAGAACTTTTGGGATCATTTGAGAGGAGGAGGAACTCCTCGGTGTGTGTTTACGTTCCTAAACACACGCAGCCGGATCGGTCGGAACGGGGGAATCTCTTCCATTCATCCAGACATTACTAATCAAACCCGCTCTCTCCTCCTCCCTGTGTGCTTGTGTGTCGTCATAGGAAAACGTCTTCATCTCTTTGGTCCTGCAGAGAATTTGTGATTCATTCAGAATTTTATGCTTCTGTCAGTTTCTCACGTACAAACGCTGCGCAAAGGGAAATGGCATAAAAGCAAACGCATTATTCAACCGGCCGGATGTCCCGGCCGTTTTTAACAGGCCTGATGACAGCTTTACCGGGCGCAGCAGAGGCTATTTATAAGAGTGGCTGTTTTTAAAATGTATTTATTAAATACAGGTATTGTGTATAATTCCCGCATATCGCCACCCACTGGACGGCATTTCCTGCAGAAATAACGCGGCTCTTCTGGGACCGACTGTGAGCTAACAAAGGTTCTCATGGAGGCTCTTCAGGGTCAGACCAAACGCTGACTGCAAACTGCAGAGACAGTTTGTCTGCAGTTTATTCATGCTTTATTTGTTTAATCACTGTTAAATATTCAGATCATCAAAAAAAAAAACAACCCAGAAAATCAGATCATCTGAAGCACTTCAATGTGAAATAATTTAGAACTGAAACAATCATGAAAGAATCAATTTTTGAAACAATTAATTGTTAAGTGGTCTAAAAATGGTCACCTGATGGGAGAACAACACACTCAGAGCTGTAATTCAACCAAAACTGTGCAAAAATATAAAGATTTTTGCAGTTAAAATAGAAAAAGTCCTTCTTTGTTTGTAATTTTGTTCTATCCAGAACTCCTTAAGTGGCAATTGTAGCTTCACCTTGGTAAAAGCATGTGGAAAATATCCTATTTAGCACCTTTTTCTTTCAATTATTAATTGATTAATCCGAAAATAAACATATCATAGCTCCACTGTGTTGATGAAAGTTGGTCAGAAAGGCCTAAACCTTTTATATTTGTTTTAGCTGCGGATGCAAACTTTGCTACGAATTATCAAACATTCACAAATGGAAATGGAAAATGTCTTTATCCCCTTCAAAATAAGAGCATAAATATAAACATCTAACAATGTGATTAATTCTCAACAATCAATAACCAAAATTTCAACTCAGATTTCAAACTTCAATCAACTAATAGTTTTTATTACAGCCGAGTAAATTATCGCTTTAGAATTTATCAGGAAAAATTAATTTAAGCGAAACTTAGTGTACTAAATGTTTTCAAAGTTATCAAAAACGTTAAGCTAAAAACTAGCTTAGCATATTAGCGAAAGATGATCATCAACTTTATCTCTAACACTATTAACTCCGTTTTGTCAGCTGGTAAAACACATCAGCAGTAACAACAGCAGCCATTATGTTTATTCGGAAATATTTTTTTTATTGAATTTACAATGATATTTTGTTGATGTGCCCCATTTCTTGCTGCCCTGGAGGACTCGGACACACATTAATATCACACCTGTAATAGCACTATCCTAGTCTCTTAATTTAAGGTATACAGAATGTACCACAAGCAAGCAGAATGTAATAAGGAAAGCATCATAACAAGTAAATGTAATATTCACCGTCATTTTAAAAAAATCTATTTCAAAAACTGCAAAAAAATTCTAATAATTTCACATAAAAGTTTTTGTATTTTTGCTTCCACCGATTAGATCCACTCTGGTTTTGTGCGTAACGAGACCAAAATATTTACTTTAAGCCTGTAGCCTTGTTAGCATGTAGCCAACTCACCAATATGCTAATAACATTAGCATGTATTTAAATGTTTATGCACTTTCAATGATGGAGACAATATGAGGTAATGTTGTTATTCCCAATTCATAATTATGTACGGGACAATTCACTAAGTGCGATTCAACAAAATCAGGTCAAGTTCCAGCTTGATCTTTTTATAAAGATGTCGTATGGAAGACAGTTCATGTCCAAACTCAAAGTTGGCAACCAGTTAGCTCACCTTAAGGGGCTTATATAAGATTTCATACAGTATAAATGTATGTTTTGGCTGCTTCGTGGTATTTTGGATAAATATGTGCTTTAAGCAGCAAACATAATTCTGTTATATTCAAAGGAAAAACTTTGTAAAGCTGCAAAAACAAGTTTGTCCACAGGAATGCACCTTGTCTTTAGAGTCTCGTTACAGACATGCAGCCAAGAAATAATAGGAGCTTTTCAGAGCTCAGTGTTGTCGTTTCAGTCCATTTCCCCATCTGGCTTCGCTCAACATGGCGACTCTACATACTCGTTGTCCAGCCGTGGATGAAAGGCAGAGGCCAGCGGCGGACTGAAGATTATGACCCGCGGGGCGAGGCAGTCGTCCCGCCGGTGTAAAATGTTCCAGATGAGCATGGCGGCGGCCATAGTGGCCAGCAGGCAGGCTGCGATGTTCACGTAGCAGGAGTAGGACAGGTGTGTGTAGGGCCCAACCCGGTAGAACGTGACCAGTCCGATCACCAGCACAAAACCTGGAGACAAAACAGGGACGATATCAGCTTGCATAAATACAACACTCTGCAACAAATGGGACCCGTCATGAAGCTCTAAATTATCAACCCACAATTGACTGTTTTTACTTCCGATTCAGATATCTGAGGTTTAGAAACAGCTGATCTGGTGCAGAAAAACAGCTGGACTGACTTAAAACTACGACCGAAAGATGTATTACCATGTAAGTGTTTCGTATAGATAATTATTGATTAGGTTTTTGTGGTTTATAGTTGAAATACTTCCAAACTGATGGCATAACATTTCCTGTTTTATCTGGTTTTCTCTCCACGTTGTTTTTAATTTTGTAGCATTTATGAGGCAAAGCTTGAAACTGCTTCTTACCCAGCAGTTTGTTGCTACCTAGCTTAGCGGCTAACGTCGTTCCTCTGCCTACATCTCCCAGAATGCTGTGCAGTTCCAGACTGGAGTTCAGTGAATATTCTGTCAGATGTATAATCTGTTGATATTGATCACGTGTATTTAGCAATATATATTGTTATTGATTTATAATCCAGCTCTACTTAAAACATTTCTTAGTTTAAATTCAGATGTAAATCTCAAATGAAATGGTTTCAATAAAAATAGAAAAAACTAATTATAGACTCAAATAGACTGCCGCAGTTTATCAAGCTTGCTGAATTGATTTTTACCAAACTTGACGAGTTTAGTGAGATTCGAGTTGGTAAATGATCATCAGTTTGGAGAGCAGATGTGTGAAACAGCAGTCGATGAGAACCAACACTCTGCTGGTCTGTTTGTTGGTTTATTTTAAGTGCTTCACAATAATCCACCATTTCTCCAGGAAAAATGCTCAAACAAACCTAAGACCAAACAAAAAACTTTAATCCAAACAAAGCAATCTGAATGTTTCCTGTTCTGCGGCCGTGTCTTTATTTATTTCTGTTTGTTGAATATTTGCGAGGAAATAAACAGACATGCGTCCCTTTGCTTGTGTTTCAGCAGGGTTGGAGCACCATGTGAGGTCTTTGAGTCAGAAAATCTGTTTCCTCTTGGGAAGAACTCCTGAGATCTCCGGATTAGACTCCTCAAAAGCACAAAAATATCAGGCCACAGGAAAAACTTCCAGAAAGGCCTTTGAAATGTTTTTATCTCCTGATTTCCTCAATTTCAGAGAGTTAAACTCACGCAACCAGGAAGCCAGAAAGCGCCAGACCAGAACAGACCAGGGTTACAATAGTTTGAAGTTTTTCATTACAGTTTAGTTTTATTTCACTCTGACATTTTGTCTAATTCAGTTAGTTTCATTAGTTTTCAGAGTGTTTGCTAGTTTTTATTAGTTGTTATCAATTAAATACTGTTAAGTTTAAGTTTTATTAGTTATTGTAGTTGTTTTTTTTTCAGAATTCAGTTATTGTTGTATTCAAACTCAAAAATACTTTATTGATCGCAATATGAAATTAAATAGTTATTGTGATTATTATTGCGATTATGCTAACATCCGTTGGGTAATGAATACTCAGAATAAGACACCATTTAAAAAAATTGGATTTGATTATTGTTGAACGAAGGTCGTAAACACAAAAACAAAGAATATCATGTCTGTAATTTCAGTGCGTCTTATAGATCAGTAACGATACATATCAATAGATATTGCATCTGCTAAAATATCCGATATGTTGCTGGAATCGACCAACTGGCAAAAACCTGCCGGGTCAGAAGCAGTTTTGAGTTTCCCGCCGAATCTCACAACTGTTTCAAAATAACAAAAACAACATGGACTGAAAAGTGTGGATGAAGCAGAATACGCTCCGCCACCATTCAAGGAGTATTAAAACAAAAGACTAATCAATAATTATCGACATTGACTGATTCTAAAGGCTTACATGGTGGTAAGTTTCTCAGCCATATTGTCCATTGCAATGTCGTTCTAGTTAGTTATAGTTATTCCCCATTAGTTACTATTATTATTTATCTCAGTTAATGAAAATGTTTTTCAGTTCTCGATATGCAGATAGTTTCAGTAGCTATAATAACTTTGCTCCAGACCTGATGTCTGCCTGTTTGACCTTCACTTTCATTTCATGGCATTTTCTCCAGATTTCTCGGCGTTCAGGTGCGATCCGCAGCCATCCGACTGTCCGCGTCAGAAAACGAAGCTCATATCCTCCGCGGTCTAAATAAAGTCGCCCAAAATAATGAGTGGAAACGGGGATGCTGGCGCTTTAGGATATGAATCAGTTTGTTTCCGGTTAATTTCCATTCCTCCCTCCACTTCTACAGAAAGATGGTCGTCATTGTTTCAGACGAGGATGTGGACGATTATGTCTGTGTCATTGCATGTCTGCGTCTGTTTGTATGTGAAGAATGTGGCTGTTTTTATTGGTGTTTAACCTGTTTGGCTCCTCTTGGGATAATGAATAATCTCTTGTCAGTTTCTCTGTGTGAACCTCTCCTTTGGCTCGGACTTATCTCCCAAACTTCCTTCCCCTTCTTCCTCTTTCCATCCTTCCTTCCTTCCCTATTCGCCACACCCTCTCAGCCTTCAGCTTCATGTATTTCTGGATGTTTCACATAAACTTTGAAATACGGATTCAATTTATTAGTCCAGTTTTGAAAACTAAATTCCCTACAAATCAGTTTATTTTAATAATAATAAAAAAGCCATAAACTGCATTTATTTTGCTTTGAAGTACAGAAACACCAAATCTTACCCAGTATGCTTAGTTTTGTTTCTAGTGCAAATATCTTTTTGTTTGAATTAAGACAAAACTAACTTATAACCTTTTGGTGAGATATAGGAGCTTGTTTTAAGTAAATAATTCCTTGATATTGATCAAAAAGTTCTGGATTATTTCACTAATAAAATGGGCAAATTGTCTTGCAAAATTGATCTTCTAGTCGAACTACAACTTTTTCATTAATATTAAGAAATTATTTAGTTAAAACAAGTTTGTATTGTGTGCTGAAAACTTATTTCTCACATATCAAATAAAGTCAACTAGAGCCAAAACCCAGCTCTCTTTCATAAACATTAAGGAACTTAAAGCAAACTCTGAGAACTTTCTATTTATAAGTTTTGTCTTATGTTAAGTGTAATGAGACATTTACACTAGGAACTAAAGTTTGTCTTTGTGTTTTTGCAGTGCGGCAGCAGGCCCAGTGTTGGGCCGGGAATCTTGATTATTGTTAATGACGTCGTCCCGCCCTCTCACACTTCATGTTCAGTTCCAGAGAAATTTGGCACGTCCGAAAATGAAAACATTCCAGAGAAAAAGAGAGAAGGGTAAAAATATCTCCATTCATTCAGAGCTGAAGCCCATTGACCGACTCACTGGGGTGGATGGGTGAACGGTAGCAGCTTTTTCACCAAAACACTGAGAAACTAGAAATTCATTCTGCACTAATGGAATAAAAAAAACAATCTACTGTTCTGTCTGCAGCGATTCAATTCAAATTCAAAGATGCCTTATTCATCCCTGTGGGAAATTAAATAAATAAAAATAGTGTCTCACCAAAGTTTTGACACTTTTTAAATATTTTCATGTATCGTCAGGTCACATGCGTACACTTACACTGCAAAAACACAACATATTACCAAGTTTCTAGTCCAAATATCTGACTTATAGCAAACTAACTCATAAGGAACTTTTCAGCAAGACATAAGAGCCAATAATTCATTAATATAGATGAAAAAGTTCTAGTTCCACTGGCAGATTATTTCACTTATAATAAGACATTTTTAAGTGTTTTGGTTGAAAACAGATTTAAATGGACGAACCAACAGTTTCCCTGTTTGAAGCCTGAAGGCCTCGTTTACAGATCGTCCCTGTTTTCTCTTTCTTTCAGCTGGGAATGTGTAATCTGTTGGGATCTTCTTGTTGACCTTGTGCGGCGAGCAGGCAGACATCTTTCCAGAGAACATCATTATTTTTAGACGTTGAACTGAAAAGCATGACCAACTCTTGGCTGCTGAAGTCTGGGCTGGTTGTGTCGAATATGGAAAAGTCCAGTAATATTGGGAGGGACTGGATCCTCTGTCCAAGGCCTAGATAAAGCAGGAACGCGTGCTTTAACTGGACCAACGATAAAAAGAGGATGCTTTGCTGCTTTCTGTAAACACAGACATAAAAGCCAGTCCATCTTATCTGGACGGAGCGATTCCCACCCTGCTGCCATGTGTGCTGCAGGATATTTCACTGTAATAAACACACAAACACTGAACCTGCGTACGCACACTCCGCCCTCTGCAAGCCCACACACAAACATCGAAAACCGTCTTTTCCCCGCTCCCCCTCCTCCGCCTGCTGCGGCTCAGGGGTTTGCATAACAGGTAGTCGCAGACATTTCCTCGTCCTGAGCAGGGATATCCTGGCGCCCGACAGTCGCTGCCTGCTTCGCTGCGGCTCGGCCCGTGGACTCTGGACCAGGACTAAATTTAGATCCAGAGACCCTTCAGTTCTCGCTAAAGCCGAGAAAACACCAAGCAAAACGCAGCAAAACTTGTTTCTGCGCTGCAAAAATACAAAATATGACCAAGTATTCGGTCTGGTTTCTCCTGAAAATATCTTAGTGCACTTGAAATTAAACAGGATATAGGAGCTTTTTTTAGTCAATAATTTCTTAATGTTGATGAAAATTTACTTTTTTCATTGGCAGATTATTTAACTTATAACAATCAATTTTTCTAATATTTTAAGTAGGCATGTTCCAATAAGCAATAAATCAATTAAACACATGATCAATCAATTAATCACATGATAAATTGAAATGAGCTCAGTAACTTCCATTTGTATGTTTTGTCATTTTTTCTCTCTTTCTACCAAAATCTGGTGCTTTGGTCTCAACTAGCCATTTTTTATTAAGTATAATTTTATTTGTTGTTTGTTCTTCCAATTCCAGTGTTAAAAGTTCATTAGAATTGAAACTTTATTGATCTTTGAAAATGTGTTTGTGCATTCTTACTGCATTAAAAACTGCCTCAAAACTGCAATATTATCAGTTATTGCAATAACTTCTGGAAAATGTATTGCCTAGCAAAGGCCTAAATATCAGCTTGTTGTGAAACGCATAATTTATTCTGGTTGGGATTGGTCCATGGTCTACACCAACATGTTCAAACCTGCCCAGTTCTGCCTACTTTCAACATTTACACTCACATGTGAAATTGCCTGCAAACACATGTGCAATTATGCAACTGTATATCTTTGAAAAGCAGAAGTGACGCCTCCTGCACAACCATCAAGAATGCAGCAAGTGGTTTATGTTGTTAAGTGAACAACAGAACTCTGCACTGCAAAATCACCAAATCTGACCCAGTATTTTTGGTCGAGTTTCCAGTAAACTTAACCAACGCTACGTAACGGCAAAGTGCGCGTAGAATGTGGCTTATCTTTCCAGATGTTTATGAAACGGCTCATTTTCCAGGCTCCAAAAACCATAAACTTAATCCCAAAAACTGCTTTAGCGTTTTTTTGTTGTTTTTTTAAGAACTTGAGTTTTTTTAAGAAGCAGTAGAAACCAAAATGGAAGAGCAAAATGTGTCAGTTTAAGCGCTTATTCTTTACTATTTTTATGTCTGCGGATCAAAATCAAACAACGAGTGAAGGCTTAAAATAATTGATTATTATTATTATAAAAAATGTCCAGGAAAGCCGGGATATATTGCTTATCGTTGCGACCGCTGGCCCAGTTTGGAGCAGCTGGATACTCACTGGCTAGCTGGAAGAGCGCGGCGATGGCCTCCTCCCACCACTGGGACTCCTGCGTGACGAAGGGCAGCTCCATCAGGCCCAGGAGGAAGATGAGCTGGCCGGCCGTCAGCGCCACCGTCGCTATCAGGTTGCACGCTCGCATCATGTTGAACTGCACTGTGGGAGCAAAACGAACGCCGCGTCAAACCTCCAGGACAGCAGCAAAACGTGGAGGATTACAGTTGCCGTTGGTAGCAAGGTGGCATTGTAAGGCCTTGTTTTTATGAATGGAGAAGTGCTGCCAGTACCCAGCTGAGCGTTTCCCACAGTTGTTTTTGAATGGCAGTTTCTGAATGGAGCATAACAGAGGAAAAGCTTTTAAATGTTCACGTTTCTTCTGAGCGGTTCGGGCGAAGCCAACAAAAACACCAGAACCTGTAAGAACCGCCGTGCATTCACAACATTTCTGACCAACTTTCACAAGATGCAATCAGACCGACTTCATTAGACAGAGAACTTTCTACCAGCTGGGATGAAACGGTCTGACTGATTGGTGTGATCTGGATTTAACTGGATCTGACTGAACCGACCTCAATGGGGGTCACAAACGTTTCAACCTGCGACTTCCAAAATAACATGTTGACTGGCAAACTCCTAAAGACACATACATACATACATATATATATATAAATGATTTATTTAAAAATATACAATGAGATGGAATAAAGTGGAACTCCTTTTAATCCTAATTGGTTGAGTCAATTATGATGATTTTTGCCTGCAGTTAATAAAAATACATTGAAGACTAGAATATTAATATGAAAATATAAAGTTTTCTTAACATTTGATTTAATTACATGTATATATATTTAAAGTATATATTCTGTTTTTATTCATTTATTTTTGGCCCTATTGGCCCTCCATACACCTTAGACATCACTATGATTCTGAAAATCATTTTGCGACCCCTCTGGGATCCCAATCCCTACTTTTAGAACCCCTGCAGTAGATAAACCCCAAGTTAAAGGTCAGGGTTGAACTGAAACCCCTGAGTATTGGGAGCAGATTTTAACTTTTTGCCCCTACATTCATAACTGCCCCTCCCTTCAGTTAAACATAAACATATTTGAAAATGTCAGACTCTTGGCTACAATCTGATAAAAAGCATTTGAGTTGAGCAGGAACATTTGGACTGCAGGCCAGATATCAGTGACCAAGAACTTTCATTAAAAATATATTGTATGGAGCTCCGGTAGTGCCAAAAAAACAAGTATGTCCTCTGGTAGTTAATTAATTTATTTATTTTGCTGTTTTCAGCAAAATATGTCCAAATTTCTCTAATTTTTCTTATTTATACTGCATTTCCAAAAGCTATTCTTCCATTGGAGTCAAATATAAAACATTTTTAAATTATTTTATTATTATTGGGTAAAAATATATATATTTCAAAATAAGTAATTTTGGACATCTAAATATAAGTTTATTAAGTTTAATAAGTATCAACAGGAAATCTCCAGTTTTGTAGATGGTGCCAAAGGCAAAATGATTAAGTATGTTTTTACTAAAACATATGCAAATTTGCTTTAGGTTAGTGATGTGTGGATCTACGGTTTCCAAACGTTTATAGCCTTAGTTATGATATTTATAAAAGGTTTATATACTGCATCATGCAGGGGTGTCCAGACTTTGTGTAATGTGGGCTAAAATTGTCAAATCAAATAAATTTGTAGGACAAACAAATTTATTTAAAAAAACTAAGACAAAGCAAATATTTGAAATAAAATTTGGTTGAATAATTCATCTTATCTGTTTCAGTTCCAGTGTTAAATATTCATCAGAATTTAGTAAATGATATTTGAGAATAAGTTCTTTCATTATTATGTCAATATTAACATAATGGTGGAAAAATATCTCAAAACAACAATATTATAATTTATCACGAGAATTTATTGTCTAGAATAATTTGTTATTGTGACCAAAAAAATACAAATTTTTAACTTTTATTAAAATGTTGCTGTTTTTAACCTACTCAACAATACATAAATTATATTAATTAAGCAAATAATCAGATCGTTGATCCAAAACTAGAAATAATTTCACTTTGATCCATGAAGATTCGTTCAATATTTGAAGAAAACAGAAGATATTTAGTCTTTTCATCAATAAATTCAGGATTTGGTTCAGTCTTCATCTGAAAGCACTTCCTGTATTCAGCCAAGTTTCAAAGATTCCCAAACATTTTAAACCAGAACAGTTTTAACAGGCAACGCTGCAAAATATGCAAAGAGCCATTGACTTTAAAATGTTTTTTTTTTCTCACTTTTATTCACTATTGGATAATTATTGCATTTGTTTTGCATGTCAGGGCTAAGAGATGCACAAGCAGAGTGATTTAAATTAATAAAAGCAGTATGCTTGTGCTGCGCCACCTGAACTCTTACGTTTGACGGTGCTGCGGGACTCCTGGTAGCCGGCGAACTCCGACCCCCAGCCGATGGCGGCGCAGTGCCTCTGCGTGCCGCGGCCGGCCGCCTGCAGGTCGTCGCGTCCGCGCTCGGCGGGACACGTCCTCCACAGCCCCACGCTGCGCTTGCGGCCGTCCTCCAGCGCCTGCAGAACCCAGCTGGGCGTGAAGGCCGCCACGTTGTTGAGCACCAGGGACAGCAGCGCCACCGCCACCGCCGCCGCCACCAGCCTGCGCGCGGCCATGCGACGCCCGCCGCCCGCCACCGCGCCGCCGCCGTCCTCCGCTTCCTCTGCTTCTTCCAGCTGTCACAGGAGTGTCGCTTTAGCTAAAGAACATCTCCATTCATCGTCATGCGGGAGCCGGTTGTCGTGGCGACGGATCCTCAGCCCTCCTCCTCGGACAGCAGCGCTGGTACCTGCGGGTTGGTCCAACCGGCACCGGGGTCCATTCCACCTCCTTCCACTGGCTGCAGCTTCACGCTCGCTTAAATCTGCACGTGTGTTTTTAGCGCTCCTTTGCACTTTTCTCACTTTTTGTTTAGTTTCTGCAAAGCAAAAGCATCGTCTTTAAAATAAATCTTCCTGCGTCAGTTTCTGAGTCGACTGGAACAAGAAGTCCTCTCCGTTTGTAGGTCAGAGTTGAAATGTGCTGCTCATCGGTTTGCACATGCCCTCCTCCAGGATCGATTTAAAAAAAAAAAACGGGTTTGTGTGTGAGCGTCTAAAAAAGAATCCCGTCGCAGACGTCACGGCCTGCTGGATTCTTTTGTCTGGAGAGCTGGGGGGCGTTTGCGAAAGTCCTCCTTGTCCCATGTGCAACAAACACGCCAGAGCCAGCCAGCAACAGGATGCGTTTCCTGAGAGGAAAAGAGGCCAAAAGCAGACCTGTTCCTCCTCTTGTCTTTCCTTTTCTGGCTCTCTAGATCTCACCGCTCCACTTTTTAATCTGTGACCATAAACAGAAACTTTGGCCGTTTGCGCGCGCAGCTCGCATTCTTATGTTTCTGTTGGCCTCCACCGGCGGGGCCCCCAAAGATTTGGGGTATTTCCTGTTGCTCAGCTTTCAATAAACAAGCCACATCTGTATCTGCTGAAGCGAAGAGGAGGGAGGCAATGCAAATGGCGAACAGATGGCGTAGGAATTTAAAGATCTGGAGACGAAGCCGAGGTTGAAAGAGACGGAAGATCGGTTTACGTCAGAGAGGCGAAAAAAAGGGAAAACAGTTCAAAGTGTTCACTGAAAATTTCTGCAGTTTCACCTGGAAGTATGTAACAAACTGCATGCAAAAAGTAGGGCAAAAGGTCAAACAACAATGAAAAGGATAGATAAACTAAATCTGAATAGTGTGGCGTGCACAAATAATACCCAGTAAGATGCAAGAAATGCAGCAGAAATCCAGTTTAAAGACATTTATGAGTTAATAAACAGAGGAAAATGTTGCACATGACCCTGAATAAACCATTTTCACAGTAAAACATGGTGGTGGCAGCATCATGGTGGGAGGCTGCAGAAGACTTAAGAACGACTGAAGGAAACGACATCAAGAAGGCGACACTGAGAGCAACTTCCTTCCTCACAAAATGGAAACAATTTAGATTTTAGCAATTAGAGGATTTCCCTGTAGTCTTTGGCTAAATACCACAAGTCATTTCTCCGGCTAGCGCTAAGCTAGCATGTTTACTTGGGCTATATTTACCCAGAATGCCCTGCTCTATAGTCCACTTCCTGCTTTTGGAGCGGTCTCCACTCCGCTTGGCGTTCACATATGCATCCAAACTGAACCAGAGTTCACTTCAGCTGAACCCAGACCGAGGTTTGGAGGCAAACAAGAGTTCACTATTTCGGTCTATTACACATTCACACCAAATCGGACTTTCTATGCAAGGCTGGAGTTGGATTAAAGCGGACCAGAGTTGGGTTTAAAGCGACGGTTGTTCATGGTGTGAATGAACCCAAAACACACTTTTCCTTAGAGAAAATCCAGTAAAGGGAATTTTTGTTGATGTAACACGGCTAAATCTGAACAAACTATGAAAGAAAGAAAATCTGTTTTCTAAAAGCTAAGTATAGATTTTACCCTGTTGCTGGGAAGAACCAGCCATGTTTGAGTCAGGCCTCATTGCCAGTAAGTTGAGACAAACAGCAGAATAACTCTGACACGCAGCATCATTGTATTTCTTTGAACAAGCAGGAAGCCATCGGATGTATGCACAGCAGCAGTTTTCACTGCTGAATAACAAACTGCATCAGAATGAGCCGCAGTTTCTCATCCCTCTCTGTTTTCTTCCTGTAGTAAAGCGGTGTGGGAAAACATGGCACGGATGTGTGTGAAAACCCGCCGGCTGGACGTGGCCCGAATGTGCCTGGGGAACATGGGGAACGCCAGGGCAGCGAAAGCCGTGAAGGAGGCGGAGGCGGAGCCCGAACCCGAAGCCCGGGTGGCCATGTTGGCCATTCAGCTCGGCATGCTGGTGAGACGAGGAAATTATCTGATTAATGAGAAGAGAAATCTGGCAAAAACTGATTCTGGTTCATCTTTTCATTACTTTAGTTTAGGATAAAGTTTTTCCCCCATTTCAGCCTCTGAACTCACCAGCTACGTTTCCATTTATGTAAAAATTACACAAAGTGAAATTAAGAAAATTTATTTGCTTAATGCAAACTCACCAATTTTGAAGAAATAACTTATTCTGGGATGAAATGTATCGAAATAATTGTATTTTGCAAAACTCCAATAGAAGCACTTTTAGTCACATGATCGGATGTTACTACAGGAGGAAACGACAAAAAGACAACAGGAAGTGATAAGAGAATGATGTTATTGCATGAACAAACTTATTTTAATTGTGTTTTTTTATCTAATGGAAACACTGCAATTGGGAAATTGCTTTTTTTTTTATCTTATCAAAAAATAATCTAAGTTTTGTGCACATTTGTAATGAAAAGGCATCTACTGTGAACGATAGTTTGAGTTGTTTTCCGGTGGCCGGTTATGGACAGACAAGGATAAACCTGTGGCCTATGCAAAACAAATTTATTCCGAGATAATTGTAGTCTGCTCTGTTCTGCCATTGTGAGCTGCTCTCATAATAAGCTACATTCGCTAAAGCGAGACACCAGCTTAGCATTTGGAATGAGCAACAGTAACACAACATAGGTTGTTTTAGGGTGTCTTGTCACTTTAAATCCAAATAAGCTGCTGCTGGCCACGCCTCCCAACATCTACATAAACAGATGGGCAATTATGCAAAACGGCCATCTTTGAAAAGCAGAAGTGGAGCCTCCTACACAACCAACAAGAACACAGTAAATGGTTTCTGGATGGTAAGTCAACAACTAAACGCTTGTCTCTTCCAGCAGCCATTGTGCAGCGCTTACAGATGACCAAACATGCTGGAACTCCATTTTGGTTGTTAGGTAACGGCACAGTGTGACTCAATAATCGGGAGGATTTTGAAACGACTCATTTTCAAGACACATAAAACATGAACTTTTTGCCAAAAAAGGCCAGGTGGTTTTAGGATCAGTATAAAAAAGCATAAAAAGATCATTTTTCATTATAGGTCCCCTTTAAAGAACCTTCTGTCCGGCTTTCGGTGAGGCTGCGTCCCTTCAGGCCCAAACGGGACTTTCCTGACTGAAGGCATTTATCTCCTTCCTTTCCTGTAACAGGAAGATGCAGAAAAGCTGTACAAGAGCTGTCATCGCTACGACCTGCTGAACGCCTTCTACCAGGCCTCCAGCGAATGGCAGCGAGCTCTGGAGACGGCCGAGGTTCACGACCGCATCCACCTGCGCACCACCTACTACAACTACGCCAAGTACCTGGAGTCCATGGGCCAAAAGAACCTGGCGCTTACTTAGTAAGACACAACGTTTAGCAGGAGGCTTTGGCTGGATTTACTCTGGAAATGAGGGGCAATAAGGGGCAATAACCAGCGTTTCTGTTCCAGTTATGAGAAATCAGACACTCACCGAGTCGAGGTTCCCAGAATGCTGCAGGATGACACAGTGTCGCTGGAGTTATACGTTACCAAAGCCAAAGATAAGTAGGTTTTTCATGCTCTGACGTCAACAACACAACTGTCTGCATGACATGGATAAAGTTTAAAAGTCCCTCATCTCGCGAATCCAGGAACATCTACAAGTGGTGGGCCCAGTACCTGGAGAGCCAGTCCAACATGGAGAGAGCGCTGCTGTTCTACGAGCGCGCTCAGGATTACCTGTCACTGGTCCGAGTCCACTGCTACCTGGGCAACATCCCAGAGGTACTTCTCTAAAACACGTTCAGCTAACCAGCCGATCTCTCCTCATGACACTGAACAAAACCTAATTAGGAAGAAAAACTTTTCTACTCACCAGTTTTAGGAGAGACTCTCTGAAGCCCTTTGAACATCACATGCTCAATTCCAAAGATCTTCATCTCAAAGATTTGGCATTTATTTGCAGCGCTAGCTAAAAAACTTGGCTGCGCTAATCGTAGAGCACTAATCATAAACATTTGTTACCCAAAAACACTAAACCTACACAATGTTTAGCAGAAGCTAATGCTAAAGCTCTAAACTCTGCCATGAATTAATAACACGTACAACATATTGTTCAGGTATTTTGGAATCGAATTGAATCGAATTGAATCGCCCCCAACAGCTGTATGGTTGTGGATGAGAAGCACATCCAGAACTTTGAGAGGCATTGCTGCAGTATGAAATTACTCAAGCAAAGTAAAAAGTACAACGAAGCACAAATAGTCCTACAAGTAATTTTTTCCACAAACGTTCTAAAGTAAATGTAACTGAGGAAATGTAACGAGTTAGTACCCAACTCTTCATATGAATCTGTTCATATGCCTGCAGGCGTCGCAGATAGCCAACAACACAGGTGACAGAGCAGCGTCGTACCACCTGGCCAGACATTACGAGGGTCACGATGACATCAAGCAAGCAGTCCACTTCTACACCCGGGCCCAGGCCTACAATAACGCCATCCGACTCTGCAAGGTACAGTAATCTTCTCCAGACTTCAGGAATTTTTTTCTGTTCGGTTTCCTCAGCTTCGTTTCTGAACAGGAGAACGGTCTGGATGACCAGCTGATGAACCTGGCGCTGCTCAGCAACCCGGAGGACATGATGGAGGCCGCCTGCCACTACGAGGAGAAGGGCAAACACCTGGACCGGGCTGTGTCGCTCTACCACAAGGTCAGTGCTGTCGCTCTACCACAAGGTCAGTGCTGTCGCTCTACCACGAGGTCAGTGCTGTCGCTCTACCACAAGGTCAGTGCTGTCGCTCTACCACAAGGTCAGTGCTGTCGCTCTACCACAAGGTCAGTGCTGTCGCTCTACCTTGAGGTCAGTGCTGTCGCTCTACCACAAGGTCAGTGCTGTCGCTCTACCACAAGGTCAGTGCTGTCGCTCTACCACAAGGTCAGTGCTGTCGCTCTACCACGAGGTCAGTGCTGTCGCTCTACCTTGAGGTCAGTGCTGTCGCTCTACCACAAGGTCAGTGCTGTCGCTCTACCACAAGGTCAGTGCAGCGGCCAGGTCTCCACAAGGTGGCGGTGTTGCATCATATGCAGGGTGTACCATGTCTTACAGGGGCAGCATTCTGTGAAATCTACTTTTTAAAATTTTTCCATCATGTTGTAATGTTTTTTCCTCATCAAAAGCAAACCTGGAGAGTTGTTTTGATTCTTTCATGCCTGTTTGAGAAATCCTTTCATCTCCATGGCAACCATTCAGCGGTGCATAACACCTGAACATTTTTCCTCGTCAGTCATGCGCATTAATCTTCATTGCATTGTGTGACTCGAATCGGTTGAGGCTACTGCTAATGAGCTGCTAATTTGCCCTTGAAAGCTACATGCTTAGGTTTCTTTGCATCATTCAACTTCATTTATATATATAGCAACAACAGTTTTCTAGACAATGTTTGTTTTCTCCACTGGCTGTAAACAAATGTGAGTTTTGTGGTTTTTCCAGGCCGGTCACGTCTCCAAAGCGCTGGAGTTGGCGTTCGCCACCGAGCAGTTTGCTGCTCTGCAGCTCATCGCGGAGGAGCTGAATGAAAACTCCGACCCTGCGCTCCTCGCTCGCTGCTCCGACTTCTTCATCC